GGATATTCATTGACTGTTGCTCAAATCTTTGCAAATGCTACCAAGTGACTCCACAAATTCCGTAACAGATCTCCTTTTTCAAGAGACTCAAAGCGCATTTACAAGATGAAAACATACTACTCGCATGCTTCCCATCAGTAGTATCACCGTTACAGGCCTACAGCAATTGCATTCTTCCCGGTCCATATCCAATGTATTCTGCATAAACAACTGATCCCCGATACTTCCAACAATCCCAATTAAGCCTTTTACATTTTACTTCAAGATGCTGAAAACCATGTTACCCAATTTATCGATTGGTAACGGGTTGAGACAGCACGAGAACAGATCTCGGTAAGGCTCAACACATCCCATACCTGGACTTTGAACTCCGCTCCGGAGATGACACAATTCAGAATATTCGAATAAGCGGTAATCAAGCGATTTCTACATCTAAATTGCTCCACGGGCTCCAGCTTAAACAAATTTTAAGGTCTGCAGTGGATAACTGAGATGGAATAATTGACGGTTCCAAGCAAACACATCGAAAGGCCAACACCTTCCGAGATTTCAGGGGGAACTAGGGACACCTTCCCATACCTGGACTTTGAACTCCGCTCCGCAGATGACACAATCCAGAGTATTCGAAGAAGCGGTAATCACGTGATTCATACATCTAAATTGCTCCACGGACTCCAGGCTAAACAGATTCTATGATCTGCAGGGGATAATTGAGATGGAATATCTGGCGGTTCCAAGTAAACATATCCAGTGGCGAACATCTTCCAAGATTTCAAGGAGAACTAGGGACACCTGGACACCAAGGTTTTAAGGTCCTCCACAGCGTTCGTCATTGCAGACTAATTTCTGCGGTATAAAACGATCATCTAAAGAAAAAGTTTTAACGAAGAAGCTAGAGCTTTAGAGAAAGTTTTTGAGGTCTCTAAACAAGCTATCCTTCGTGCGGAACATCGAAGGAGACTACAGACCACATATTGAGCTATTCAGTTTCTTCAAGAGCGAGCGGCTAACTGGATGCACACAGGATACTACAAGTATAGTTTTTAATAATCCATAGCTGTAAAAGAATACTTTCCAGTACATCTAAAATGGTGAACTACACTCCTTGATTCCCTCGCCATATACTCGAGCGCGATTCGTGTGACCTATTCGGAACATCTTCTGATGCCTGGTGCTACTTTCTCCCACTGATATTATTAGGCTAGGAAGGAATCACCGAGAAATGAAATGCATACGAAATAACCTTGAATGACTCGAGGGATACAGGTGAAAATTGACGTGATGAAATGAAACAATGGCAAAGGCAATGCACAGTTAACTCACACAGCACGGTTGCTCTTGATTGCTCGCTGCGCATTTTCACCGATAGCCATGTAAAGACGATTTCATTTGAAAAAATAAAACGAGAAATTTTATTCATCAGGACTAACAGTGGGCACAGAAACAGTTAAACCGAACAGGCTTACATTCAGGTGCTTTCCCCATTATACAAAACTGTAATGGCTTTTGACAGACAGCTTTAACCAGAAAATTATTTTCTTAATCAATAAACGTCCATGTCATCGTGCGTAATGTTTCGATCACCATTAATATGCGATAAAAGTAAACAGGCATAAGGCTCTGGTGTATTTTCGGCAATAGAATGGGACAGTATTGGGCCGAAACACGTTGAGCAGTAGGAACGTCTGAGTCACAATTCAACTGAATAAGCAAATAGGTAGGCCAAAGATAGGAAAATGCCCACCCGAGCAAACAAAAGTTAGAAAAACGGTTTGTCAAAGTAGTTCCTCCACTGGGGCTTAATGTCATTGATTCCGTTTCGCCTCCTGTCCTTACCTCAATGCACTTCTGCAACGCAGTAGTCATAATTGTCTGGATGGCACCCCGAAAAAGGTGAGAACTACCTGGAACCCAGAAAATAAGTGTGGTCGTCGAAATCTGTTCAAATAAAGTTCAAGTAGAACACAAGGTTGACGAAAACTTGGGGACTATGCCTACATGACGAGTCTCAAGAAGGGCAAAACCGGTCGTGGGCTGTCAAAGAGTTTTCAGAAACCTTATGCGTGATGTGATACGTTTATACGGGGTGAGAACAAGTCTGTTTATAAGTATCCACTACGTCACTTTTAAGACCACGTGCACGATAAAATCGATTAAGCTGAGGACTCGATGGAGTACTTCGCGATCAATATCACATGAACATCATTCCGTAAAATTTGCAGCCAGGAGATTGTCTGCAAGCTCCGTTGAGGACTTATTGAAAGGAGTTAATTTGGCTTCCAAACTGAGTAGTGTAGGAGGAGTGTCCAGAATCCACGGACAGCCCGCTCTTGTCTTTATCCTTTTTAGAGATCGTTGGATAAGTGTACCCCTCACAAGCTGTCCTATTCAGTCCCCGAACTGAACTATATTTGGTAAAGTGTTTACCATTGCACTCGTCTGGAGACTTCATGGAGACCCTCGTGGTTAGCAGCACCTAATTCACGATCAAATGCAACCGAGCTGAATGTCTTCGAGATAGTTTGTGTGAAACGTGGGCTAGTGACGACGAACGAGTTCGTCGAATCTTCACCCACAGCATTGCATCAAATTGCTACTCGGGTCCAGACCCAACTGGCGAGCCCCAATCAGGTCAATAAATTAGGACCGTTTAAAAAGCCACCTTTAGGAATTTTTGAGGTGATTTCGTTTTTCATCAGATTCCCTTTTATTTATGCCACAGGCTAAATGTTTTTTGAAAAATCTGATATCCAAGTCTGATTAGGGCTAAACGTGACATGCTTTGTGTTCCGTTTTGGCTAGCCAGGACTCACTTTCCAAAGAGGCTTTTGTGACAACAGACACAGCACGGTTTCAGTTGCTACTTGAAAGCTGGACAGGTGCACATGGTGTGCTGTTAGTTTCCCACATCAATTTTCAGTATACCTGACAATCTATGAAATAGTATGTTTGTTTGTTCTATACGCTTTCACAATGGCTCCTTGTTTCGGAAAATGTCACGTAGAAACAAAATGGACAGAAATGACCATTCCTTTCTGGGACTAACGAAGAAAAAGTGCCAACTAAACGTTTGCAGACGAAAAATAAATCTGGATAAAAATTTGAAAGTTGCTGTGTTGAACAGTTGATAAATCAACGATGAACAGTACAGGTAGTCATAGACTCCAATACAAAATTCGTCATAGTAGTGAAACTTTTGTTAGTTTTTTGCCAGTTGATAAATCAACGATGAACAGTACAGCTAGTCGTAGACTCCCGGAGATGAACCTTTGAGGATCCCCGTTAAGGGTTCGCACATCTTTCACCAAAAATTATACGGAAGGAGATTAGAAATCTTGGTTTCCAGACCCATGTTCCAGTAATTTAAGTAGCAATAGTAAAATAACCCCATAGATGAAGCATTCTTGTATTCAGTCAACTAAAACATGTGGGTTGTTCTGAGATAGTTATTTAAACTCGAATCTCATGGGTTTTTTTTAGAAATTTCGGTGGTCTGCAACGAATCAATGATTGCCTCGATGGTGAGGGTTCTTTGAAACGACTAGTCAGAAGTCCGTTCGCATTTTTCAGCGTCCGAATGTGAATGAACACAGAGCTGCTTCTTATCGAAAGTGGAAATAACTTGATGTCGTGAGAATTCCCCCATTCGTTTGCTCACTCCGCCCGTACGCTTTTGATCGCCACACAGGCACGCGATTAGGTGTGTGTGTGTGTGGCCACTGACCTACTAACCAATGTGTGTCCGTGCCCCATCTGCTGCCCTGGCTTGATCTGTACTCAGTCTCATCTGATCGGACTGCCAATCAGAATCACGAGACTGGCCTCGAAAAGGACAGCCGCAGCCCAGCCAATATTTGATTGGTGTGCGGACCTTGCAGTGCGCTGTGCAGGTCAGTGATTGAGAAACTCAACAATCGATTAACACCACTTAAGAACCCATGTATGGGAGAGCATTGCAACCTGACAAATCTGTGCCAGTGCGTGTTGCTTAAGCTGCCGCAAACGATAGCTTCTGTGCGCTCTAGCTGGATCCGAAGAGATTCAATAAACTAAACAGTTGAGCTTGAATTTTTCAGGTGAGGCAAGCGAACGCAAGAAGCAGCGTATCATATCGTGGGTCGCATCAACCAGTTTTTCAAAACTACCACTTGCAAGCTGTATCAGAAATTTCTGGTATGCCGGAAAACTGATTTAGGTAAAAACGATCGGTTAAGTTATCAAACAAAATAACTTGTGTTTATCAGAACACAGCCCTGGGAAAAGCATAAACGAGAGATTCAGGTGGGTTCCAGGTGAGTCTCTCGCAAAAACCAAATTAGTTTGCAAATGAGTGTATATTCGCTAATTCCGTGCAATTCGGTTTCAGGTAGAACATAAGGTTGAAGAAAACACGGGGCCTGCGCCTACCTGATGATCCCCAAAAAGGGCGAAACCGGTCGTTGGCTGTCGACAAATTTTCAGCGACCTTAAGAGTAGTGCATTACGATTATACATGTATCGCGACATCCCGAATAGCATTGCGAATGAAAAATGAGGCGGCCTGGTGCAGCACATTCAGTTGCCTGGAAACATCACGAACGAGAGATTCAGCTGGGTTCCATTGAATCTCTCGCAAGGGCCGAATTGGTTTGCAAATGGGTGCATTTCACAACATCCCGGTAATTTTGTTGAATAGTTTATTGACGGTTCATATGTCAGCAATGGTTTTACGTTATATCCTACCTGCAAGTTTGTATTAATGAAGTAGGACGTTTTTTATTAGGAAAGCACGCTAACTGTTGGCGGTTACAGAATTCAGATTCGTATTCTCCACTCTTCCGTTTGATCAGCTCCTTTCTCCTGGAGCGATTATTCCGGTGAGTTCACATCAAGGGGAAAGTACTAGGCTCGAGTTTTGCTCTTATTGGAGCTCATCCTTAGTCCTACCAGGGTCGGGCCTGCACACATCTGACACGCCGGACGCACCTCTGAACACGTGAACATGTTCAAAATCAAAGGATCTGACTAGTTTACCCAAGGGATCGAACGAAGACCCGGCAAGTGTCCCGGTTGTGTCGATCAACTGGTCCGACTGTCAGGATCTCCCGCTCAGGCAGTGCCGTGGACGCTTGAAACCTGCTGGATATACATTGTCGATTATCCCTAATAATAGTGAAACTCGGGTTCACTACTTGTCTCCTGTGGTGGGGACTCACCAGAAAAATTGCCTCGGAGGGAGACTGTTCAACCAAGAGTAATTCGGATTGAAAAGCTCATTGGTTCGAAGGGAACCCAGAGTATTTGCCACTTTCAGTTCTTGGATTTCCGAGCAGATTCACGAGCGGAATTCGTCCTCGGAGTTTGTGCCACCAAACTTTTCTCGTGTTCTATCTGGTGGAAATGCTCACTAAATCCAGCATTTGAACAGACTACCAAATGCAGGTCCGATTGCCCCTACTCCATCCTTTCTATAAAAAATAATCGTAACTCCGAACTCTATGAAACATATACCGAAACTGCGATACGTGTTTTGTATAACCACGCGATTTGGATGGCGACGTTTGCTTAGTGAAAAACTTCGTTTTTTATCAGAGTGGACTTCAGGAGATAGCAACAGACGAACCGCTACGATTTCTGAGTCTATCTTATCAGCATCATTGACAACATGACATCAGTATTCAACACCGATGCTCCGCTGCCGTACAACCATGATTTATTTAAAATCCTAGTTTTAAATGGGCACAATCCTTGTTTGAGGATGGCGCTAAAATGAATCAAAACAGCCAAATCTCAGAACACTACATGTATGGATTATCAAACAGACAAAGAGAATTCTCCCCGCTAAATCCAGTGACCTTACAAGAGAACTCACAAGGAAACCCCTTCCCTTCTGGAGGGGGAATGATACACATAGCATTTTCAAAACAAATTTTGCTCTGGGGCCATTCTGTTCTGAGAAACCGAGAAGCATTGTACACCTCCCCCATTCTTGTTGGGGAACATCAGCACCGCGTATGCCACGGAACTCGGACTTTCGAACCTGCGACCTTCTGGCTGGTGGTTGAGACCTTGACCGTTTAAACACGACTGGCTAATCAGCAGTGTGATTAACTCGCAGCTGGACACAAAACACAGCATCACCCATTCTTTGACCATTAAAATCACATCATGTGATCACTTATTGACTGGCTCCATGACTGGCGAGTCCTCAGAAAGAAGTTCCCCTCATTTTGTGATCATTAGGCTCCGTAACTTGTAGAAATTTCCCTTCAACTGGGATAACCAATAATCCATTAGCAATACTAATTTAGTAAACATGAACTAAGTGCCACTAGCGTAGAAACTAGAATCCTAATGGAGTATGGATGTACAGCGTCTAACAAATGATATATGATATAGTAAATAACAATATAAATTAATAGAACAATAGAAACGTAAGAGTGAATTCCAGTCCTCTTATTAACTTGTGGTGAAAAAGCGCCTTATAACGTTATGCTCAATTTTAATCGATCACACGCAGAATCATTGTCTGCAATACATGTGCCTGTGGAGCGTGAGGAGACGCGTTGGAGAAAACGTTCGCAATGGCTTTGGTTATTTTACAATTACTTAGCCAAAAGTAAACATTGCGAAACTTTAAAATAACGTATTAACTATGATCATGAAGGAAACTACTCACAAGGCTGCTAAAAATTCGTCGACAGCCCACGACCGGTTTCACCCTTCTTGAGGCTCATCGGGTAGGCGCAGTCCCCGAGCTTCAGTGAACCTTATGTTCTATTTGAACCCCAGTAGGAAATACTTATTCGCTAATCAATTTGGTTTTCACGGGAGACCCAACTGAATTACTGGTTTATGATGTTCTACAACTGAATGTGCTGCACACAGGCCACCTCATGTTTCAGTTAGCAAGATATTCGATACATCGCAGTATATTTTCATATAAGAGACTACTCACAATGTGCTGCAGCATATTCCGTTGTAGAGTATCATAAACGGGAGATTCAGCTGAGTCTCTCGTGAAGTCGAAATTGATTTGAAAATGAGTGTATTTACCTTTTATGCAGTGAGATGACCCATCAATTTACTTCTCTTCCACGTTGGGCCATTTTCTAAACGGGAGATTCAGACAAAATAAAAAAGAACTTTTCAACTGAAAAAAAACTGAAAATCTGCACCAAACAATGACGCATTTTTCAAGACGTCTATCGTCCTCCGTATATGGCAGAAACCCAGCAAAGCCAGATAAGTAATGCAAGAAAAGGCAGTTGAGTACATTCTGACAGACACACCGGGGTATATAATATTAGCATAGGAGTAAGAATAATATTCGATTCAAGGCTACCATTGCATCCTACCACTGAGGCAATTTTTCCCAGAAGATGGCTGATACTCAAGTACTTTTCAAAGTCATTTGCATCTGGTTAACAAAACGTCACTCAAAGTTGTCGCCACGAGCATCCTGAAATAATATAAGCTTACCGGAGAGAACTTGCACAAAAAATAGTCCACTTAATAACTAATTATTGATTGTTTCAAGCAATCAGTCGGACCACGTCGAGTCAAACGCAAAACCCCAAAAGTTGAATCGTTCAGATGGAGGTTTATGAATACAATAATACAATAATAAATTTATACAAACCTCAAACCGTGGTACTACACCGGTTCTTTTATACAACCTTTTGGGAAGTGCTGATTCCTAACGGCATCCCAAAGTCCACACTGACCCGAGGAAAGGTGTTCGCAAGATAATGAAACCCACGTGTTGATTTAAACAACACGTGACAAGGTCAAAGGGAGATTTACGCCCAAGTCAAAACCGGGAAGGCGGTATGGTCACCGAAATTAAAATGACGTCGTAAACAATAAAAATAGAAGGAAAGAATCAACACACAACCCCTTGGCGTGATGACTTTTGCGAAAGGGTATGATTCACATCACACAATGGAACTGCACGAAGGATAACTTACAGGCAGCACTTAATTCCGCATCTTTCGTCTCGGATGCTTCTGATGTAATCTGCCGTGAAGATTCCACAGCTGGAATTGTCTTATCTTGTCCTAACGCACCTTTCTCTCCCACGACATTGTGGCTTGCCTCTTGTGCGCTGTTGCCCGATACCAAGCCACTGATACTGCTGCCCATAAGGACTTGATCAGAGCCGATATCCAATGGCTGCTCGGAATTCAGCGACTGTTCAGTAACACTGTCTGGCTATGAAAAACACGCGGTTAACAAAGAAATGACACCGTGTTCATGTGATAAAATATGGTTGGACAAACGGTAACCTATTGCAGAATCGATGATGCTCTCCTATTGGTTCACAAAACAGTTGGTGCACAATAATGAATTCGGAATGTAACCAGTCGGTCTCGTGATTTTTCTGGGACTGTCCTCTCTCTCTCTCTCCGAGCGTGCACCACGTGCGCGTGATGCGTATTTGTTTGATTTGAGCATGTTTACGATCCGCTGTATTCATCTGATAAGTCAGTCAAAATGAAGAAATTCTTTCGAGGGAGTTAGAGGCATATATGGGTAATGAAACTGTGTCAAATCGGGGTAATTAACTGTCATCTTGTGCTCATTTTCAATCATGACAATTGAATAATTTGCAAAAACGGTATTCATCTACGAGGTCTTATGAGTTGGAGTGTAATAATCAGGTCGGCAAAGAGAAATTTCTAAAAACAACGCTGTTATCAGGGCTTTTTGTCCGCTTTTTTCCCCACAGCCCCAAGAGTCTTCTTAGATTTTCTTGATAAAGTGTACATCGTGGAAACCCTGGTTCGAAAAACGGTGAAAGTTTTTCTCAATCTGTAGATCGCGTATTGATTCAAGGCAGTTCACTACGAAACTTTCGAGCCTTACGGTTTCGATTGCAAATGCAAATAAATTTAACCAAATTAAATATGATTTTTAGGACTGGTTAACTGAGTTAAGCGGAAATTCCTTCAGAAAATAATTAGGTTCAAATCAAGTATTACAAACCATTTTTGAACTTCAGTCGGTGCGACACGTCGGTTTCGGGTTTAGTCCGCACAGAAGTGAAGACACGGAAAGTTAATTGAATATCTGCAGTTGGTACGACACTTTCTACTTTGGAGCGCATCGGTTTGGGACAAAAAAACTGAATTTCGTTGGTCTTCACACTGCGGAATTGATTCAACAACCCGCGTTTTACCACTTCGGGTACATCAGCCTTTGTCGTGGTATATTTGGCGAGGTTCTACTCTCCCCATTCTTCACATGCCGTTCAGTTGTACTAATCAGTGCAAGTGCAGAATTAATGACTCTGAAGGAATCGGTTCTTCGATATGCAGACCAAATCAGGCATGCAAGTTGATCCCACTAATAGCCACATAATTACGCTATTTATACCGATCCGACAAGCCACATTCAGCTGGCGAAATGGAAGAATTTACTACGATCAAGGAGTTTCTCAGCTTTCCAGAAGTTAACATGTCTGGGATTATTCCGCTAGGGAACTCGAATTAGTCTGGGGCTGGGGCCCAAACACGAAAGGTAGTATCACATTCAACAGAATTTCCCAGGTAATATTGAGTCATTTTGCTTTGTCTGATTAGGAAAGATAAGGTTCATTACGATTCAAGCTCAAAAGCGTTAAGATTAAATTCAGGCATTTTGCATAGCAACAAGAACGAGCAAGTTAAACAGCAAGGTCTGTGCTTCTGCTATTCAACAATCTTTTGAAAAATTTCCTCTAGCCATGTGGCTCATTTGAAACTTGGATCTTCAGTGATTTGGATGAACGGGACGTGATAGTTTTTGGAATTATCTGTCATTTCTCGGAAAACATTTTGTTTAAACACTCCCTTGCATTAGTTCGACCAATAAAAGAAAAGCTTTATCTGCAGAGGAATCATTCGACAGACCAAAAGGCAGAAGCCTTCTAAAAATTAATCACCCTACGATGTCTCATAATAGACGCGAAATTTAACTGGATAAGTTAACGTAGTTGATTAAAGAAAGGATAACAAAATTTATCACTATCAATAGCCACATAAAGAATGTTTTGTTTGCAAGTGTTGACTTTTTTTGTGTTTACAATGGATGTCAATACGCGCACTGAAATTTTGAAACTATTATTACCTTGGTGAAAGCGCCACCGCTGCACTTCGTGGTTACCAAACCAAACATGGTCTCATCAAAGATCCACCCACCATGTCGACCATTACACGCTTAATTGAAGAATTTGAGTCCACTGGATCTGTATTGGATTTTCCTGGCGAAGGGAGAAAGTCTCTGAGTGATGAAAGAGCGCCCATTGTACAGAATACCGTCAAGCAACTTCAGTCCCAGAGCACCATGGTGTCTTCGTCAATAACTAAGGTGTCTCAGTTGACCGGCATTCGCCGAGCCAGCGTGGCGTGAGTCGCCACCTTCATCTCTACCCGTAACATTTCACTCTATTAAGAAACGTCACGGGAGAAGACAAGGAGCAACGTATCACGTTCGCTAACTGGCTGCTTGTTAGGCAGGAATCCACACGGATCCCACTATACCGCACGTCTTTAGGCGCTGCTACGGTCGAGAAGCCTGGCCCGCTCGAGGTTGGCCCAGAATTCGGGACGCTTGCCGGTCCGGCATCAAGACGAGATCTGATTGGTCAACAATCTGGACCCAACAGCCAATCATGACCCAGTATTGGCCAAATGCCGGTTGCCAATGGCGCATCCAGAACGCGTCAGAAATTCCAGAAAGTTATAACCGCTTACGCTATATATACGAAGCGCTGTACAACTGTACTTGATTTCGTTTTGGGCTTTAATAGACCTTGTGCACCTTTGGTGGTTGTTTTTGACGAGAACGCTAGCTTGACAGGCTCAGACCGAGAACTAAGCTGAGGAAAATACCGTTACTACACTGCTGGATAATGAAGAAATTGTTCCCAACATTCTATTGAGCGATGAAGCAAATTTTTCTGTGAGTGGCATAATCAACAAGCACAATTGCGCGATATGACCTCGTGAAGCTCCTCACGAGTACCTCACCCATAATCTCCATTTCCCTCCTCTCTGTGTGCGGATGGGATTCTCTTCAAAGTGTCTCCTGCGTTCATTTTTCTTTGATGCTACGGTCTCCGGCGACAGTTACTTCCTTATTCTGCAAGCGCATGTTATCCCGCAACTCAAGCAGCACAATGAGTCATCGACCGTCTTTCAACAAGATGGCGCTCCACCCCACTACTCAAACCAAGTGAGAACTTACCTCCAAGAGTAATTTTCTGATGTGAGAGTCAGTGCTCGTGGATTTCCGAACTTTTGGCTCGCAAGGTCGCCCGATCTCACACCTCTGGATTATTGTTCTTGGGGAATAATCAAGGCTTGCGTATATCCCGAAAATAAACCGAAGAATTTGGTGGGGTTAAGAGCAAGAATTGAGGAGCAGTGTGCACGAGTGACGCTTTAAGAAGTTAAAATGCTGTGTCTTACATCTCATACCACCTCCAACTTGTTATAAAAGAAAGGGGCGATTTTTTCAACATTTTTGTAATATCAGTTTATTTGCAGAAAACCTCCATAATGCACGTATGTTTATATAAAACAACAATAGATGTATGAGTCAATGTTAAAGTTTAAACATACATACTGTGTTTTGCGTATATTATGAGACACCCTGTACTTGTAGTTAAAGAGCTTGAAAACGAACTCAACAGAGTATCCAAAACACGTCATCGCAGACTTTGCAGAACGGCATTGTGTTGACGGGGAAGCACTCGAGTTGTGGAGTGTCTGAGTTGTGTAGGTAAAAGTGTGTGGCAACCTTAGTCTGATATGTAACCAACTGTCACTGCGATTGCAGTCTGATTGATTGCTGCGTGAAATGAAATCTGAGCGTTGCTATCCGGTGTGACCTTTGTTCGTTATGGTACCACAGAAATATCGAACGAACCAAGCTCCTGTGAAATTGGCTTGGCTACACTTTGTTGGTGGTTTGAACTTTGCGGTGAAAAAAGTTCTTTGAATGTAATCCCATAACCTGTTTGAATCACGAAGGAAACTACTCACAACTACCCAATGAAAACTCTTCGACAGCCCACAACCGGTTTCGCCCTTCTGGATGCTCGTCAGGTAGACGAAAACTCGGGAACGAGTTTTCGTCAACCTTATGTTTTACTTAAACCCCAATTAAACTGTTTTCGAGAAATACACTCGTTTGCAAGTCAATTCGGTTCTCACAAGAGACCCAACTGAATCTTTCGGTTATGATATTCTACAACTGAATCTGCTGCACACAGGCAGCCTCATGTTTCAGTTGATACGATATTCGAGATGTCGCAGTATATTGTGAGCGCAAATAATAAAATCGCTCCCATGTGAGCCCATGCGAGATTCACTCTAATCAACTTAGTCATAATTAACTCCAGGCCGTTTTAAAATTCGACGGTTAGGGCTTACTTTTGATTTCGCTTGGTGAGATGTCAAATTTGGCTCCAAAATACACCAGTCACGCTAGCTAAATCTTGCGCGATATTGCCAAAAGTATTTTTGTTTTGCTGAACTACTAGCCATGTCAAGCATTTTTCGCGCGTTTTAGGCTTTATTATAGTTTGGTTGTGGCAAATGGTCTTGTTGCTGTGAAAATGACAAAAGATGAAACCTTTCTCAATTTTTTTAACAACAAAACCATCCTGGATTTTGAATAAACACCTCAACCACTTACTTCTGTATATTGTTGAGTGCCATTTACGTTCGACATTTGTGCATTCGCTGGAAAGAGAAACAGTCAACGAGATCGATTTAAAAGATGAAGCCATAAAGACGGTAATGACGAATCATGATGAACGATTCCTGGTTGGTTAGTTAGTCGTATACTTCCCCACGTTTTTTTACAGTTACGTTAGTTTTAATTTTATTCAGACTGAACCCAGAACAGTGAAAGTAAATCTTTCATAGTCAGTGGAAGATTTTGAACAAACGGACGTATGTCAATTTAGAGCCAAGTAGAACACACCATCAAATCATGAATAACCACTTATGGGTGATTAGTTTGTCCTGTAACATTTGCCAAGTGTTTTTCAGCTTTCGCCGTTAAACGTGTTCCAGGAAATCAGCATTTTTTTGCTTTCTGTCCTAGCTGCAAGATAACTGCATCGTTCAACAGTAGTATCAAGTAAAACACTTCTTTGTCGTACCCAGCTCAGTTGGTAACTTGAACTGTGGAAGCAAGAAAACATGCTATTTGTCTTATCA